TAGTAATAGCACTTAAGACTTATATACTGCTTCACAATGCTTTACAGTCCTCTCTAAGTGGTTTAGAGTCAGCATATTGCCACTAACAATCTGGTTCCTCATTTTACCGACCTCGGAAGGATGGAAGGATGAGTCAACCTTGAACCGGTGAGACTTGTTTAGACCAGGGAAACAGGTCAAACAAGAGTATTTGAATTGGATATGCAGAATAATATAGTCTCAGTCCATTACAAATGGGGCCTCTATAGTAGACTTTTTGCTATACCTAGTTTTTTCTCCACCAGTCTCTCCCATTTAATATTTACACTAACAAGGCTTACCCATTGCATGTATTGGGTAAGAGTATAAAAGATATCACACATTCAGAGTGCACAATTGGAATGAGATCATTTAGATAATTGTAAATGTCTCATTGTGCTTCCCTTTATATCATAGGAGCACTTGACACTCCAAGCTGATTTTTCCCTACTTACTAAATGTACAGGTTAGCCTGATATTGAAGTTGCATCTTATTTCCTCATAGATCAATCTAGTGACATATCTCTATTCTCAAAATTTGTCAAGTGCAATTACTGTTAAAAGATGCTGGGTTTGAATTATGTTCTGGCTAAATGTGTCTTGCACAAAAGACTGTCAACATTTATGATTGTCACTACGTCTACCATCTCTAATATGCCAATTTCTCATCTAGTTTTATTAGCTAATACTGTTTTACTGCTTTCCTTTTGGTCCTTGACTGTAAACTAATAAATAAATAAATAAACTCCTCTGAAGTTTTATTTATTGTCCCACAGATAATTAAGGCTTTTTATAGGCTTGTGGCATTATAAATACATTTTATGGTACAACACTGCAATGAGACAATGCTGAGTTGTATTTAGAGCAAAAATAAACAAATGTTCTTGGGTTTAATGATGTCACCGCTCTGATGTGTTTTATCTACTCTACACATTATTTAATTTATGCACATGAAACTACAACTTATAAACAGGCACAAGAATTCTGAAATTCAGATACTTGTAGCTTTCAAAAATAGCTTTCCTCTCATAAATGCAAACTGCTACTGGCAAAAAGAAACTTCAAATGACCCCATGTGCAAATTTATAAATTCAAGGTTTTTTTTAGCAATATTAACATGCTCTACCAATCAAATTCATATCCTAGTAATAAAATTGGCAGGACAACAATACAATGGTCTCTATCTGCTCCAATACAATAAGAAACATCATTTAAAAAAAAAGAAAGCTCACTTAAAACTCAGAAGCTTCAGTTTTTGCCACTATCGCAAACTCAGAAGCGTGTACCATTACCAAGTCAACTGCTCATATCCTGAACTGGCCTACAATACAGCAGATTCCCTCAAACATCTGATGAAGAAGGCAACAAATCACTTATTTAGGCTGAATGGGAAGGAGGGAGACACAACAGCTCTCTTGACCAAGCCTTCTTTATATCTGGATGTACTTACGGAATGTTGGAGAGATGAAGAGTGGCAGATGGAGGGAAGATATTTTGGAAGTTTTTGGAGCCAGGCTTCTTAAAGCGATGCAAAGGGCTATTACCATAGTCCTTGGTTAGACCCTGGTCCTCTTGACCCTCACGAGGGAGCTGTACTGTTTGATGCTTTGAAAGTGTAATACGGAGCGCTTTCCCATACAGTTTTTGTCCATTTAAATGATTCATGGCTGAAGTATTTAAGACAACGAAATTAAGATTGGGGGGAAATAAAGAAAAAGATACTGTCCCAAGCAGTATTTTTAAAAAATCTGTTCCAATACTCAGTCAGTATATTAGATTCACCTTTTGCTAATTTTCAACTACACTGATTTTCATTATGCTATTTACAGCAAAAATAGCAATAGCAATAGCACTGAGGCTTATATACTTCGTCATAGTGCTTTACAGCTCTCTCTAGGTAGTTTATAGAATGAGTATTGCTCCCAACAATCTGGGTCCTTACTTTACCAACCTTGGAAAGGTGGAAGGTTGAGTTAACCTGAGCTGATGAGGACTGAACTCCTGGCAATGGGCAGAGTCAGCCTGCAATACTGCTTTCTAACCACTGCACCACCATGGCTGTTTCATTTTATGTTTCTGAATTAGGGTCAGATATACTCTAATTATTATTTATGAGAGCAGGAAATCACTATGCACAATTAATAAAGTATAGAAAATGAAACATGCATTAACTTCACATTAAAGAAACTTCAGTCGAAAAAATATTCAAATAAATTTTTAATCAAATGAAAATCAATATCCTGTTGCAGAGGTAAAAGTAGCAGTAGCATTTAGTTTCCATTCTTAGTTTTTTTCTCGTTTTTTTTAAAAGGAAAATTACAATAGATGTTTACTATAAAGTAAATTAAATGAGCAATTTATACAATGGAATCACACTATATTTGATTAGCACTTTTCATACCTAATTGGGCTTGAGTTGCATCTGCCATTTGAACTAAGGCATTTTCCTTCTTATTAAACATGATTTTTACACGGTGGACATCACCGTAAACACCTGCAAAAATAAAACACATTTTGAATTCATTTTCTGCAGCAAGATCATTCCAGTTATATATACATATGTTATAATGCCTGTGCTATGCCAAGGGAAGCTTTAAAAATAACATATATTAAGCACATCTGAGAACTGTGCAAGAACCAGGAGAACAGATATGAAAATCTGCAAGTCAAATATATTCTAATTATTATTTACAAAAGAATCAAGTTCCTATACGTACACCAACAAATATACAGATGTCACGCAGTATTTTTAAAAACACAAACCAATTACAATTTGTAGTTTCTCAGACAATATTATGTATATTCTGTATATAGAAACTAAACTTACCAAACAAGATAAAAAGCCCATCTGGTGTGATTGCCTGCACAGAATATAACAACAATAATGTATAATGCGTAAATCCGGAATTATCATATAGTTACTGTGTATGTTTGTTTTAATACATTCTATACTGTAGTACTGTATATAACTCACATCATTTAGCCATTCTTTTGTTGATAAAGACCATATGATTGTTTAGATTTTAACAAATAGCATAAATCTAATTATAATAGTTGGCAGTTCAATTAAGTTTGAAATGAGATATTTCAAATATCTTTGAAATACTGTTGCAATATTGTCAAAACCAGCTTTGTTATATATCCAGGATGGCGAACCTATGGCACACGTGTCACAGGTGACACGCGGAGCCATTTGTCAGGGCATGTGAAGCGTTGCCCTGTCAGCTGGCCCCATTTTTCACCCTCCCCAGGCTCCAGAGGCTTTACAGGAGCCTGGGGGGGGGGGGGCGAGAAGAGCCTCCCCCCCCAGAGGCCCCCCGGAGGCTTAGAGCACAAACACCCACCCCCTATGGGCAAACCGGAAGTTCGGGAATAGACTTCCGGTTTGTTCGTAGGATCAGTTTAAGCGGGTTCAAATGCTTCAGGGACCTTCAGGAGGCTTCCCTGAAGCTTCTGGAGGACTAAAAAGGACCCTACAAGCAAACCGGAAGTCACTTCAGGGTTTGCTCATAGGGTCGGTTTAAGCCCTCCAGAGGTTTCAGGGACCTTCAGGAGGCTTCCCTGAAGCCTCCGGAGGACTAAAAACACCCCAATGAGCAAACCGGAAGTCCGGTTTGCTCGTAGGGTCAGTTTAAGCCCTCCAGAGGCTTCTGGGAAGCCTCTTGAAAGTCCCTAAAGCTTCCAGAGGGCCTCCGGGGGGGCTGTTTTCACCCTCCCCAGGCTCCTATAAAGCCTCTGGAGCTTGGGGAGGGCGAAAAAAGCATGCAAAAAATGGGGGGCAGTGCCTCTCATGTGTGCATGCACACTAAGGGGGTTGCGCATTGCATTATGGGTGCGGCACACCCATGTATGACCTCCCTGCACTCCCCCCACTTATGGCACGTGAGCCAAAAAAGGTTTGCCATAGCTGTTATATATCTATGACTGAATTTAAAGGCATTGTTATTGGGAAAAGAGAATTGTTCTGGCACTAGAAAGTTTAACAACTTCTTTTTATGTAACCTGCCATAACTTTATCAGATAGTCAAGAGCATAAGGAGATACAGAGCAAGAAACTAGAATGCCTGGTATACCAGTGTAATACTGTAAAGGCCATTCTGGCCACATATGTCACATTATTACACATTTACAATTAATTTAAAAATACTATTGCATATCTTCCAATTTAGGTACATATCTTTTTAGGAAAAAACTGATAAGTTCAGTTAATAGTAGGATGTGATGCTCAAAACGCAACGGGGATTATTAACAATGAGAGCAGGTACTATAATATTCCCTTTTGAAAATAAGATTTTGTTCTGACAGAAATCAGTGGTTTTTGAGGATGCTTACATTCTTTTACCAGCCATTCAGAAAGTAATAGGAAAGCAGTGGAAAATGTCACTGCATGCTTTCACACACACACACACACACACACACACACACACACACACACACACACTAACTACAGGGTTGGAATGACTCTCATGTTCAGTGAATTACCCAGTGGTACAAAGAGCTTACCTCTTTTTCTTTATTTGAGCGAACATTTCAGTAGGAGTCAGACGCAGGAGGATTACTTACTATTTGGACTGTATATATCAGTTTTTATGTTTGACTAACCCCTTTCCTTGTTTTCAAGTGCATTGACAGATGTTAATTAAGGACATGAATGTCACTAGCGTATACATATAGGGAGTGGGGGTTTATTTACAAATGTAAGATATACATACTTTTTTCAGATTATGACTTTTGCAACAGAATAAAAATGATTAAAACAAAAGCTATATTTGAGTTGTGGCATATGCACACATGTGTTAGTCTTACATCAGGATTGAGATTGCTAACAAGTAACACAGAATTTCCAGGCAATCCTGTAACTCCTGTAAGAGTCATCCGCCCAGTCATTGCAGAGGTGGAAATTGCAAGAGGGCCAAGTGCGCTAGGAACAGCCGAGATCGATAAACCTGGAACAACCAAAAGTTCCAAAAAGCATTTCAGTAAAAACAAAGGTAACTTCATTTTTTATTTCTCAGGTTAAAAGTAAATCTAATCTGAAAATGCATGTCAATATATTTCTCCTCACTGGATTAAATGTCATAGCTCATGTCTCCATTCCATTTTGAAAAAGCAACCTGAATCAAATCAAACTCTCATCCCAATCTTTCAATCTCCTCCCCATGTTTTATGGAAGAAGGATTCCTTCAAAATGGCGTATTACCCAAGGCCTTGATTCTTGTGTTTCTCACTAATCCTGCTAGTTAAATATGGATAAAACACTCTCTTATATTCTCCTGCCCAATTGCAATCTAATAACTATCTTTGATTTTCTAACTGGAATTCAAAAAATCCAGAACAGAAAAATAGTCAAGCAATATTAAAAGCTTTGTTTTTAAATGCTTTGTTAATGTGCTGTCAAATAAAACAATAACACGTGACCCACACCATTAAAAAAAACTGCCAACATATTTGTCAGCTTTTGGTTCTAACACATATATAAATATTTAACAAACCTAAATGAAATATTAAAGGCAGAAAATTAGATCTTTACTATACTAAAAAAGTCTTTACCTGCAGCTTGGGGGAAGCCAATGGCAGGAGCAAAGCCAGCTGCCCCTGCATATGGTGAGGAGATGATACTTGGAGTGCCTGAAGAAGGAAAACAAATTAGACCAGAATACAGGTGGTTAATTTCTAGAGAAAGTAAAAAGTTAGTCAACCCCTAAGGAAAAGATTCTTGTCTTAAGATTTATTGTATGGGATGAATATATGCCCTGTTCAGTTCAGTTTATGTCAGTGATGGGCAACCTTTTTGGCGTGGTGTGTCAAAAATCGGCAAAAAATCGAGCATAACTCGCATTGCGTGTCACTTC